ATAATCTTGCACACTAAAATTTATAACATGGCACTGTTGGAAAGAGGATGGTTGGAAAACCATGTTGATGTTTATGACCAAGTTGTTGGTCCGTTTGTGATCCGGGAAAGATCACCGTTTGGTTACGAGGTAACCCGTTTGATGACCAAGTTGTTGGTCCGTTTGTGATCCGAGAAAGATCACCGTTTGGTTACGAGGTAACCCGTTTGGTAAGCAAGTCCATGGGACTTGAGGCACGAGATTTCATTCACTGCATCCGTAGTATGATTTTTCATTAATGATTAAATTGTTAATATCATGATATTGTTTGTCATTATGGTTATGCATGTTGTGAGCTTGCAAGTACATTCAACGTACTGACCTGGTGTGTCATGCCAGATTTCAGGAAAGTCTCATTGGAACGGAGTGCTATCCGAGTCTAGATCGTGTTCACATCGGTGTCCCTGTGCTATGGAGTCACGCTTCGTCGTCGTTCCGCTGCCGCGTAGTTGTCATGATCGAGGCCCGTTATGTTCATTAAATAATGTACATATTGTTCAGCCGCACCGTGTGTGCCGCTTGGCCTCCTAACTTGTTGTAATATGAACCATGTTCCACTAGCATCAATAAAGCGGTTGTTTTCTGTACCAAGATGTTGTGTGTTGCCAGAAGACGTGGTCTCTGGGCTGGCAATGCAAGGTAAAGCGGTTGCTCTGAGTCGGGGTGACACAATTCATATCTGATCTAGGTGTTATACCTAGTGCATCGGGTCCAATGAAAATATTTTGTGACAATACTGGTGCAATTGCCTTGGCAAAGGAATCCAGATTTCACAAGAGAACCAAGCACATCAAGAGATGCTTCAATTCCATCCGTCACAAGTGTCGGAGGGGGGCATAGAGATTTGCAAGATACACACAGATCTGAATGTTGCAGACCCGTTGACTAAGCCTCTTCCATGAGCAAAACATGATTAGCACCAAAGCTCCATGGGTGTTAGAATAATCACTATGTAATCTAGATTATTGACTCTAGTGCAAGTGGGGAGACTGAAGGAAATATGCCCTAGAGGCAATAATAAAGTTATTATTTATTTCCTTAATTCATGATAAATGTTTGTTATTCATGCTAGAATTGTATTAACCGGAAACTTAGTACATGTGTGAATACATAGACAAAACATATAGTCCCTAGTATGCCTCTACTTGACTAGCTCGTTAATAAAAGATGGTTATGTTTCCTAACCATAGACATGTGTTGTAATTTGATGAACGGGATCACATCATTAGGAGAATGATGTGATGGACATGACCCATCCGTTAGCTTAGCATTATGATCATGACAGTTTCATTGCTACTTCTTTCTTCATGACTTATACAAGTTCCTCAAACTATGAGATTATGCAACTCCCAAATACCGGAGAAACACTTTGTGTACTACCAAACGTCACAACATAAATGGGTGATTATAAAGGTGCTTTGTAGGTGTCTCCGAAGGTGTTTGTTGGGTTGGCATAGATCAAGATTAGGATTTGTTACTCAGTGTTTCGGAGAGGTATCTCTAGGCCCTCTCGGTAATACTCATCACTATAAGACTTGCAAGAATTGTGACTAATGAGTTAGTTGCAGGATGAAGTATTACGGAACGAGTAAAGAGACTTGTCGGTAACGAGATTGAACTAGGTATTGAGATACCGACGATCGAATCTCGGGCAAGTAACATACCGATGACAAAGGGAACAATGTATGTTGTTATGCGGTTTGACCGATAAAGATCTTCGTAGAATATGTAGGAACCAATATGAGCATCTAGGTTCTGTTTTTGGTTATTGACCAGAGACGCGTCTCGGTCATGTCTACATAGTTCTCGAACCCATAGGGTCCGCACACTTAACGTTCGATGACGATTGGTATTATGAGTTTATGTGATATGATGTACCTAAGATTGTTCGGAGTCCCGGATGTGATCATGGACATGACGAGGAGTCTCGAAATGGTCGAGACATAAATATTGATATATTAGACGACTATGTTCGGACACCGAAAGTGTTCCGGAGAAGTTTCGGATAAAACCGGAGTGCCGGAGGGTTATCGGAACCCCCGGGGAACTAATGGGCCTTGATGGGCCTTAGTGGAGAGAGAGAGAGAGAGGCGGCCAGGGCAGGCCGCGCACCCCCTCCCCCTTGAGTCTGAATAGGACAAGGAAGGGGGGCGGCGCCCCCCCCCCCTTTCCTTCCCCCTCTCCCTCTCCTTCCTTCCCCCCTCTCCCTTTAGGTGGAAACCTACTAGGACTTGGAGTCCTAGTAGGATTCCCCTCTTGGGGGCGCTCCAAGGAGGGCCGGCCGGCCTCCCCCTCGCTCCTTTATATACGGGGGCAGGGGTCACCCTAGAACACACAAGTTGATTTTTTAGCCGTGCTCGGTGCCCCCTCCATAGATTTCCCCCTCGGTTATATCGTTGTAGTGCTTAGGCGAAGCCCTGCACCAGTAACTACATCATCACTGTCACCACGCCGTCGTGGTGATGAAACTCTCCCTCCACCTCAGCTAGATCTAGAGTTCCTGGGACGTCACCGAGCTGAACGTGTGCAGATCACGAAGATGCCGTACCTTCGGTGCTAGGATCGGTTGGATCGTGAAGAGTACGACTACATCAACTGTGTTGTCATAACGCTTCCACTTTCGTTCTACGAGGGTACGTAGACAACACTTTCCCATCTTGTTGCTATGCATCACCAGATAGATCTTGCGTGATCGTAGGAAAATTTTGAAATTACTGTGTTCCCCAACAAGTTCAACTTAACAGTCTCCACTGTAGTACCGGTATATATAACAGTTCTTTGGAACCAAAGGAAAATTTTGTGTGCCTTTGGGATTTGGTGGGGGATTGCTGGAATTTATTCTACTTTGGGCCAGCCCAATAGCAATTCCAAAAATTCCTAATAAATCCTAGCGGCCCACTTAGCCCGTTCATGCAAGGCAAGGGGTGTTACTGAAGTTTAGTCCCACATGGCTAGTTTGGTGGGAGTTGGACCTCCTTATAGGGGAGATTGTTTCCCCACATGTATGAGCATGAGAACAAGAGGGACATTCATGCACGCTCCTCCGTTGTCGCCCGCATCACCATGCCACGCCGCGTCGCGGGTTGCGGGAATGAGCCGAGCCGATGTCTAAATTTTTGCCACGCACAATGGGTATATGAAAGGTCACTCGGGAGCTGGAAAGTTTTTGCTATAGTGAATATTGAATACGAACGTTGCACCCTTCGGCTGCTGCCTGTTCGTTTCGTCTCCCCTCTTTGCTTCAGCTCCCGTCGCAGCCTATACGCCTCCTTCTCATGTGCCTATCAAAGGGAGGTCGCTCCTCTCCAGAGAGACACACCAGAACAACACATTCCACTCCCCTCCAATTTCCTGAGCACTGAGCTACTGCTACGATCTTCCCCATCCCGGCTTGCGGCGTGCACCGCAGGTCGGGACAGTAGGCCGAAACCCCACCGCTTTGAGTCATGTACGGGAGAAGGGTGATAAGGTTTTTGAGGAGCGCTCTGTGCGACTACTGAATTGTTCATCACGGACGGCTCGGACACTGACGACCACTTCCCAACGACGACTTCTTCCCCGACGTTGACAACCTCTTCGATGACATGGCTGGCGATGATGTCGACCCCAAGAGCAGTGCTTCTGCTGTTGTTCCGTACGTTATTATGCTCTTTCTGTTTGAGGTTCTGTCACAGTTTCTTGCTCTACATATGTTTGCTATAGATGCGTTCGGTCCTACTTCATATATGCAGATGTTATTTACCTTCTCTCTGTCAGATTGTATGACTTGTTTTATCTCTGCTATATTAGTCATGCTTTATCTAGTATTTCTGTTAATAAAATCATTCGATAAATTGCTCACATTTCCAACAATAGATTCACTCATTTTGCTCTGCATGTAGTCCATATTAGAATCTCTAAAAATATTTATAGTTAGTAACTTAAGAGCATCTCCAACAGTCGCGCTAAACAAGCGTCGCGCCGCAAATTTGCCCATTTTAGCGCGGGGGCAATCGGTAGAGTGTCTCCAGCAGGCGCGCAATAACCGCGCGTGCGGCATATAGAGTTGGGCGCGCGGTCCGAATCGCAATCATGCGCTGCATATTTGGTGCGCCCGCTTCCGCGCGCGGCACACACGAGCGCTCGCGCCGCACTCTCTCCACCGCGCCACCTTCGCCCTGCACGCGCCGGTGCCGGCAAGCTGACCCGATGGACACACGCGCCGGCACCCCCCTCACCCCATCCTACAGCCGCGAACCCTCCACCGCCGCCACTGCCGCAAACCCTAGCGCTGGGAGCGTTGGCCTCGCCTCCGCCGGAGCTCCTCCGAGCATCAGCCTCGTGCGCGGCCTCTTCATGCCGCCGCGGATGACCTCGGCGGCTGGTGGCGTCACGCCGGCGCCCGCCGTGATGAAGCCACGTGAACCCCCCTCAAAGCTCCCAAATGCGGCGCGGCCGAAGAAGGGCAAGACATCCGCGAAGAAGAACAAGGCGGCGGACGGCTCCAGCACCTCGAAGGCACCGAGGAAGAAGCTTGCAGGGCGTGTGACAAGCGCGGCGGCTACCGAAGCACCGGCGAGCTCACTTGTTGAGCCGGCGGCCGATGCGCACAATGTGTTTGATGATATGCCCCAAAGGTTAAAAAAATCCCGAACTTTTTTTACTTCTTTATTTTTTGAATGCATACATATAGATAGCTTATTGCATTGTTCTATATACTTTGTAGTGTGAACAATGATGCATATATGTCAACTATGGGTGTTGGCTCGAACAATTCACATTGGTCTCAAACCAATGACATGCATTTCGAAGACCATGAGTTCGAGGTGGACGAGGATGGTGAGGGCATTGTCAGCGCACTGAAAGGAAGAGGAGGCAACTACACCAATGACGAAGATGTTGTGCTATGCAAAACTTGGTTGGATGTGTCGAGGGATCCATCCGTTGGAGGTGATCAAAGTACAGATGCTTATTGGCTCCGGATGAAAGAACACTTTGATCTTCGCAACATGAGTGGAATTGACCGCTCCGCACGATCGCTTCGCTCCCGGTGGTCGATCATCAATAGGGATTGTCAACAATGGGCGGCCGCACAAAAAGCGGTTGACAAGTTGAACCCAAGTGGCACCAATGATGACGATAGGGTAAGTGTCATTTCATCATTCCTCATGTTCATCATGCTTGTTGTTGGTGTTTCTTGTGCTAACTTGTTTTGTTTTCATGTAGTTAAATATTGCACAAAATTTGTTCAAAGGAGAGGAGAAGAGGACCAAGAATGGGAAGATCAAGAAAGGAAGGCCATTTACCTTGCCTCATTGCTATGAAGTATTGAAGGGTGATGAGAAATGGAAGAAGCGTGAGGATATTGATGATTTGGATTTGAGCAAAAAATGCAAGCGAACAATTGATTTGGAAGATGAGGAGGAGGATGCATCAAGTGAAGATGGCAAGAGAAGCCCCACACCAAACTCGGTTTCATACTTGAAGCCAAAATGACCGGATGGCACGAAGAAAGACACAAAAGAAAAGAAGAAGATGAAAGGAGATGATGAGCTCAAAAATGCTATGGAAGCAATTCTCAAGGCAAGAAAAGAAGCCAACGAGGTGAGGAAAATGGCAAGGAACCAAGATGTCGCGGACGAGGAGAGGAGGTTGGCGGCCGAGGAGAGGAGGGTGGCCGCCGAGGAGAGGAAAGTGGCATTGTAGGAGAGGAAGGTGGGCATGGAGGAGCGAGCTAAGTTGTTGGAATGGGAGAAGCACTTGTTCTTCTTGGACACATCTTTGTTCAATGATGCGCAAAAGGAGTATGTTAACCTTGCCCGTGAAGAAGTCTTGATCCAAAAAAGAGCCATGATTCGCATAATGGGTGGCGGTGGCCTTGGCGGCATGGGTAGCGGTGGCCTTGGCGGCATGGGTGGCGGTAGCCTTGGCGGCATGGGTGGCATTGGTTCCATGGGTGGCTTTGGAGCTACCATGGGCGGCATGGGTTCCATGGGTGGCTTTGGAGCTACCATGGAGACCGTGGGAGGCTTGGGTGGCTTTGGAGCACCTCCGGGCGGCTTGGACGACATGGGTGGCATGTGTGGCATGAGTTTTGCGTCTCTCATTGGGGGCATGGGTGCACCTCCGAGCGCCGGTGTGCCACCTTCGCATGAAGATGCCGTTGAAGATCTTGGCAACACCTTCCGAGCTTCACGTGATGAGGATACGGCGTGCAACAATGAAGAGGAGGAGGAAAAATCGTCTTCGGAGGAGTCGGATGAATCGGAGGAAGATGAGGATGAAGACGAAGACGAGGATGAGACTTGATTCTTGTGCCTTTCGTTTGTGTCATCATGAACTTGGTTTGCATTTTGAACTTGGTTGAATTATGTTGTGGGCATGAATTTGAACTTGTGGGCATGAACTTTTGGGCACGAACTTGGTTGAATGATGTTTGTGATTCAATATATGCCATGTTTTTGTGTTGATGTGTGAAATTTGTGCCAAAAATGAGAATAAATGTGTGCGTCGGCTGCTTGCGTGCGCTGCATTTTAGCGCGCTGTTGGAGCTGCGCGCGCGCGCTACATTTTAGCGTGGCTGCTGGAGCCAGCGCTACGCGACGCGCCAAACCTGGCGATGGGCGCGCCGCAAACCAGATTTTAGCGCGCCGCGCGTTGGGCGCCTGTTAAAGATGCTCTAAGGAGCACTTGATTTATAAGGACGAATTATCTAATTTTTCTAAGAGATAAACAAGATGAGTTATTATTGTTTAAATTCTACCCTGCCCTTCAATGTGACTGCCTGGAACATCTTGGATGCAGAGAAACGCCAAGATTTTTGACAATGTCAACCAATTGGCTTTCTATCTTTCTTTTAATAAAGTTTCAGTGCTGGGGTTTCGCCTACAGTTGTCAGTTCAAGAGAAAAAATTCAGTGCATTTTAATATTATCCTACTAATGAGCGTTCAGCGGACAGGAATATAACAACTAAAAAAACAAGAGCTGAACGCGATAAAAATATAGATTTCCCGAAAAGGAGCAGCTCCAAACAATCCAACGATGCTGACACGTACAGGCGTAATGGGTAAAATTTTCATTCTTTCTTGCTCTTCTTCATGTTCTAAGTTATGTACAGATTTCACGGCAGACCAAAAATTTGAACTCACTGTCACATTACATCAAACTATATAAAGCAAAAGGGGCTAGCGCCTATTTTACGGTTCAATCTAAAATATATTAATGCAAAACCAAGCAAAAAAGTTCTTCTAATTTGCCAATCAGCATCTGATGCAGACCAGTCAAATGCTGTACATTTGTCTTGCTCATACTGATGGCCTACTTCTGCATTGACAAAACATGTGGAGTATCAGATTGCTGAAGTCAAGTTAGAAATACACAAACAGAAGTATGTTTCCGGTTAGGTTCAACATGTATTTTTAACAAAATTGAACCGCATATCAAATGCCTATTTCGTGTCAAATATTGCTGAGACTACTATTAAAATGTAATTTGTAATACCAGAATCAAACGTGAAGATCATGCAGGTGCGTAAGTTTCATCTTTGAGGTATCCAGTGTATAAAGGCAATATATCATTTACTCAAGTCAAGTATTCCGTATTTACCTGTCTTCTTCTGTAAGAAGCTCTTCCTGATTTCTCCATGCAAAGAAAAACAGGAGAAGATAAATTCTGCAGTAGCTTCTGTACACAAAAAACTTCACCAACTTTCCTTTCTAAGTGACTAAACCTATTATAATAGCTATCAATTTTAGTCTGAGAGTATGTCCTCCAATTCAGGAATGTCTGGTCCAGCAATACGGCCGTAGTCTGGATCAGTCTCATTTGATGAATCCCCTCCCAAGGGTGTATTCTCTCCATAGTCCAAATCGCTCCAGTCAAACTCAGCATCACTGGTATGATTCCCGGGAGCTTCAACAGCACGATTGCTTAGGTTCGGCTTACTATGCCCAGTTCTTCTCTTTGTCCTTGCACAAATGCAGTCCATAGGGTGCTCGTGAAATTCACCTTTTCCTGGTTTAATCTCATTTGGCTCACCCATAAACCCCTTTTGGTACATCTGAACTTTGGATGCAAATGTGTCCCAGCTCATGCTGGTTCGATTAAGGAAGAGTGAAGAGAGCTTCTTAGAATTGGGTCGTATGGTCCTCTTGTGCCCAAAGTATCTCCTGAAATCAGCAAAAAAAATCAATCAATCTACTTACCTTTCGAGGGTATTGGAATATGCAGGCAACAATTGATATTGTAAAAAAATCTACTGCTATTCAAACTATTGTAGAACTGCACAAAAGAGATTACCTTCGACCAGCCAACATTCTTGCCATGTTGCCATTGTTATTTGTCACGAAAACATCGCTGCCATCACACACTACATAATCAAGGGCGGCCATGCGAGACGAGAATGGCAAGAAAGGTGCCAGCTCCTCCTTGCTTGATAGAGTCTCCTTCGAGTGGAAGTTTGGGAAGAGCGCTTTCAGAGGTGCTAATGTCTCCTCTCCTCCATATACATCCCCCGACGCAACATATAGGTGGACATCCTTCCCAAAACCCAATGCCCTGAGCATGAAGCCAACTTCTTCAGGTGTTAGAGGACATTTGCCATGCCGGCGCTCTCTGTCAGGGTTGCTTTCCTGCACATAAGTTTGAGTGTAACTGTAAAAAAACTGAAAGGGCCATACATTAATAACCATGAATGAAGAATGGTCTCTTACATGCAGTGTATTCCACCTCTTACGTATTGCACCTAGTTCCCTTCTCTCGATTTCGCCACCCCCAAAGTAGCATCCCGAGAAGGCGAGCATGTCAGGCTCAAATCTGTCATAGGTTATGTGGGTGAAGAAAATTCGCTTGCACTGCATAGCCAACACAAAATTTTATTTGAACAAAATATTACCTTAGGTGAAGAGCAATGAAGCGTCCGCTTTTGGCTCTCATTCTTTGGACAAGCAATCGGCCCATTTCGAGAATTGGATCTGTGAACTTTAGTGCATGATAATTGACTCTACACCTCAGCTTTTGAAGATCAGTCTCCAACCTGTTGGAAACCCGGTAGTCAAATTTTGTTAGTTGAACAACCTGCATGGGCAGAAATGCAAGAAACATGTCAGAAAAGAATTGAGCATTTTCAGCCTGAAGTTCTGAACATAAGAAATGTGTCATGTTGACAATCTGTAATGCTTACATGCTTCTTTAAAAGGGCAGGTAGTACTCGGTTCTCATAGCATTTTGGAGTACACTTCCTAGGTACACGCATCTTATATGGAAATGGTGTTTTCCCATTTATATCAGGTACTTGTCGTATGATCTTTACATCATTTGCGAGCGAGGATATGAATGAGTCAGCATCAAATATCTCCCCAAAATCACTGTGATACAGAACACCGAATTAGCACATGGTGCTTTGCCAGAACAACCAACAGAGGGTAAAGATTATTACCTTGCGTCGTTCCAGAAAGATGCCTGATCAAGCTTTGGAATGACAAGTGTTGCATTCAGAATGCGCGCTGCAACAACAGCATCTATGATCTGGAAACAGATAACCAGAAGCGTTTTCAAGTCATTTATTGAATTTCATCAATTATCTAAAAATGAGGAATATTATCATGACAAACTACTGATGTTGGAACATTAGAGTTTCATCACTCTGTATAGCAAGAAGACACGAGTCTGAGCACAAACAGAGAATTGTGTATCTGGATACCCGTTCACAGTTGATAACTCATACTAATTGGTCAAGAAACACACGCTATGACCTCGAACCGAAAGCTGTTCAGATTGATAACTCATACTAACAGGTCAAGAAACACAAGCTATGATCTCGAACTGGAAGTTGTTCAGATTGATAACTCATAGGTCAACAAACACACACTATGATCTCGAACTGGAAGTTGTTCAGATTACTCAAGATCAGAATTGGCAAGTAAGTATTCAGGTACAAGTTTCCTACGGTATAAGGTAGTTGTATACGACAGCTAATACTAACAAGAAAGGAATAAATACACAGGCGCAGTCATGCAGGGCTTCCAAAAGTAGTTGGAGCATACCAAGAAAAGACGGAAATGCAGGGATGCAGCCAAAGGCGTCAACAAGTTGTTGGAGTAAATTGAATTGACCAGGGCTATATCATAGATGCTTACAACTGAAGGAAACTGACATTATTGTACTATTAGCACATGGCCAAGAGTCTCATCATTGCGAAACCTAGACTGACATTAGACCACTAACACAGTAATTCAGGTAGGCTATGTATACATGGAAATTACGAGGTAATTCAACTGCGATATATTCACACTGTTGGACCAAGCAAAAAGACAATAATTCGATGGGACAAACCAGCAACCAGTATGGCAGCACGTTCGTTCTTACTCACCCCTGTTCGCTGCTGGTTCAGGCCCCCGCTGGTGGCGATCATCAGATAGCGATTCGACTCGGTGACAGCCTTGGCATCTGCTGAAGGGGGGGACTTCACTGTTAGCGAGCAGTCAGACACGAACACGAGCAATGGCAATGCTAATCTTGTGAAGCAAAACAATCCGCGTACGAAAGGAAAACGAAATTGGTGAAAGCAACGCGCGTGCGTACCGGCGAACTCCTTGGTGGCGTCGCTGCAGCCAACGAAGTGGTGCGCCGTCTTGGACGCCCAGAGCTCTTCCCCCAGCCTGCTCCCGCCACTCTGAAAGGAAACCCCGGAACAAATTAATCAGGCGAATTGGCCGCTCGATTTTCCCGGGTTCAAGCGCAAGAAACGGTGAAGCAACGCGCGGGAT